TTCAAAGTCCTTGCAGCCCTATTATTATTAGGATCAACCATATCTTCCTCTTCTGAATCACTTTATGAACTATTAGAAAGTAATTCAAGTGCTATGTTTAGACCAGGTGATGCAACAATAGCTTTTTCAGAATTTGTAGTTGCAATTCGAGCTTGTCAAGTCTCTTTTCTCAACTTTTGTGTGGTTTTCTCAATCTCTGGATCAATTTTAATTCATCAGATAGAGAAGATTGAGTCATTAACCAAAAAAAAATAGAAAATAAATAAAAATAAGCAAAAATCAATCAGAAAAATCAATAATAAATAACCAAAAACACAAAAGTGGCTCAAAACCCTAGTAAACGATGGAATTTGGCCCCGAGAGGGTGGGGCTAGTAAATCCAGAAGGATTGACTAGTCTTGTACAGATCGTCGTTTCCTTCAAAACAAGTACTCACTCGTCACCTAATTCAATTGCAAATTTCCAAATGAACAGAACCACCTTGAAAATTTACCAAAAATTTAGAATTTGAAAAATAGAAATTAAAACACAAATTGACCTAAAAGCAACGAATTAAAAATAAGAAAATAGGCAGAATAATAAAAAAAAAAATAACAAAAAACACTCCCTGGCAAAGGCGCCAAATTTTGTAAGCACGTCATTAACACTCCAAAAATTTAACTTTGCTTCTTAGCACAATAAAAGAAAAACAAACACAGTAGCTAGATGAGTAAGGGTCGAACCCACAGAGAGTGTTTACAATTTTTTTTTTATTTATTCTGACCAATTCTAAACTTAAATTCAATTAATAACAAAACAATAAAGGGGGGGGGGGCTTGGAATTCTGATCAAACTAATTATGATTAAAAACTAAATTAATAATAGAAATCAATGAAGTAAAACTTCAGTTCTTCGGTTCAATCTTACCTTCGCAGTTTATGGAACAATCAATAAACTATAACATTATTAAACCCCTTCAATGAATCTAATAATTCTAAGTAACATCAAGCTTTGCTACCCGAAATTTCCCTTAATTCCTCACTAATGAAGCAAGCTATTCATTAGATTCTAACCATTAGACAATTTAAAAAAGTTCTTTAAATTTAATATAATGACAACATTAATATCAAAGAAATTAGATTATTCTAAGCAACACTCACACAAGTTCGGATTGTTTAACTTAGTTCATGAAAATCATAGCAATAAACAAAAGCCTATCCACAATCATCTATCACTATTTGCTACGACTGATTAGGAACAATATCAATTACGTAATATACTTCCTAAATCTAGCAATTGGTAATAATCTAATCAATTTAATAGGCCTTCATTAAATCAATCAAACCAAATATCAATAAAACAAGTAAAATAGATTTCATAAGAAAATGGAGAAATAATGTTACTGATTTGATTCAACCATCAAACTGCAACGAAGGTTCGAAATTCCCTTTAACTGAATTGAAAAATCTAGCCTGACATACTTGAATAAGAAAACCCTAATAATTCCTTTCTGTCTCTCTCTTTTCTTCTAGGAACCTTAAATACCTCTGGAAAACATGACACTTCCCCCCCCCCAAAAAAAATGTGTACAACTCAAATCCCTACATTATAGGTATTCCTTATCAAAACAGATTGACAGAAATCCTGCTAGAAATTGCGAGCTGTTTTTCTATCAGATAACGACTGAATCTTGATTTGGGTTCTTGATGAAAGTTGTAGCCCTGGATGTGTAGATAAATTTAGGCTTTTGAATCACCTGATTTAGATTTCGGAAAAGCAAGTTATGACCCACTGAAGTTTACTGGTCCAATCAGGATTCGGATCAGCTTTCTAGGTCCGACTTTGAAACAATGTTTGGAGGCCCAACAAACTCGGATTTTTGCAAACCATACCTTTCTGAAAATCTTAAGATATCCTTTAAATCCTTCATGAAGACCACTTTCTCAGTCTAAAACTCTAGCGCCATCCAAACCTCAATTGAAGTTCCACAGATCGAGCTGCCTAAATGCTTGAAATTGCAGAATAATACTCCATATCTATTTTTTTTACCTTCAATGCTTCCCTAATTCAATAAATATATTAATCAGCTCACTTAAACAGAAAATATGTCATAAAACTAAATATAAAGGAATTAGAAATATTAAATATTATGCTCTTATCATGAGTCCTCCTAGATAGATTTATAATTACTTGAGTCCGTCAAGGAAACTTATTTGAAAGTAAATCCATTTTTAATCTTACTAGTAAGAAGTTAAGTCCACTTTTTTTTAAATCTCAAAAATACCATTAACAGTGTTAGTTTTGTTAGTTATGAAAAGTTGAAGACATTATTTACAAGGAGCTATATATGGAGGCAATTGATTCATTTACGATGGTAATTGTCAATTACAAGCTTTTCATAATATTTCAAATTCAAATTCTTAGTCATTATTTTGTCTGTTATACATTTAAATAATCGATTTTCAAGTTTTGAGACTAATTTGAAAGGGATGAAAGTTGAAGTTAGAGTACAAGCTCAAGATTTTGAAAAAGTAATATGGATAGTACACGGCAAGTACTTGATGTTAGCATAGTAACATCAATTCAATAACATTAATTTCAAAATATAATTTACTAACACATATCACTATTTTCTTTTCATGTTACTATTTTTTAATGAACATGTTATTACTTTTTTAGTGTTACTTTTTTGGATACTAAAGAATTGGAGTATTATTTATCTAGTTATGAGTTTGAATGCTACTATTTTTATTTTTAATTTTGTTCAATGTTTCATATTATTTTTTTTTTAATATGTTACTATTTTTGTTAAGTATGTTAGCTATTTTTGTTAAACATGTTACTATTGTTATTTTTTTAAAATATTAATATTAAATATTACAATTTTTTAATATTTAAATGTTACTATTTTTTTGTATTTAAATAGTATTATTTTTTGTGTTTAAATTATACTTTTTTTCGTATTTGAATGTTACTATTTTAATTTTTAATGTTACTGTGTGTGTGTGTGTGTGTGATATATATATATATATATATATATATATATATATATATATATATATATATATATATATATATATATATACATATAGTTCTAACCTATATATGGATATAGATAGATATAAGAGAGAAAAACTTTAAACGTTAGTCAAACTTTTAAAATTTATGAGTTTTTAATTTTTAATTTTACTTCACTAATAAAGGGAATGTGTAGTCTGGTAAAATTGATAAAAAAATGGATTTCATAATAAATAAGTTTTATTGGCAGATTTAAGTCTAAATAAGTCCATATAGGGAGACTAACCTCAAAATTTCCCTATTCTTTAACCCACAATGGTGCTATTCGTGCGACAGGCAGTGATATCAATTCCATCATTGAATTTTATGTATGAACTAGCAATAATTCGTATCAAAAATCATCTGTAATACAAAAAATTGAGCATTAATTATACCACATCAATATTTTAAATAGCAGTTTCTTTTTTTCTTTTCTTTAATTATGTAATTTAAAATTAAAGTTAATAGAGATAAAATAAGAAAGAGATATGTGTGAATTAGTGGGGTCAGACATTAAAGAGCGTGTTGATTGAGTTGTTTGACATTGAGGATCGTGCAAAGAATAAAAAGTTTTTTAGCAAAAAAAAAATTTGAAATGAATTTTATAACATTGGATCGAACTAATGAAAATTAAATCAATCTTAACCGTTATTATATTTCTATAAGTTGAAAATTTAATTTCGTAAATGTAATATTAGATAGGAGTTGTTCTCGGGGGAGCTGACTCTTGTTGTTCTTTCCTAGGGTATGTCCGAAGGGAGACAACAAACAAAGCGTATTAATTAACCGAGCATTGCTTAAGATTGTTGTTCCAATCAATCAAATTGTAAAAAAAAAAAAATCATAGTCTATAAGTTATATACTTTCACATGAGAGTTTTTTTTTTTTGAATATGTCATAGTGCGCTCCTTCTTTTTCCAAGTAAAGCTTATCGCTTATTTAGTAAAATTTAACCCCGCTGGCAACTCTATGCAAAAAAATATCGTAATACTAGAATGGTTTGTTACTTGGGCCCACTAGGAAAATCAATAGTTGGCGACAAGTGGGTCTATAAAGTCAACAAAAAGCTGATGGAACAGTTGAGAGGTTGAAGGCCACATTGGTGGCCAAAGGATACACACAAGAGTATGGAGTGAAATAAATACACGAACTGATAAGGGCTGTAGTGAAAATATGCCATCAAACTACTGATCCATGTATAATAATTTATAATCCAATTTTTCTTAAAGAAAGCATACAGTGAATGACATATAAGAAAATAAACCATATGAAACATATCACATTGCTACTTCTTTATATGATTATAGCGTAGTGTGAAATTTTTAATCTTTTGAAGTATAAATTAAAATTTTAAACATCTTTTAAAGTGCTAAGTATCACTCGCCCTGAAAAAATCAATTATTATTTATCAGATTAGCTACTTTTATGCATGAACAAGATACGAACTGTGTTGCCCTTTTTTTTTTCTTCCTGCCGAGCTAATTTTCCAAAATTCATAGCTGCGAGCATTCTATGGTGGGTGATTTACTGATTGATCGACAATTAAATTTTTACAAGTAGAACACTCGCTATTTGGTATGCAGTAATGTTTCTACAAGAGAAAGAAATCAATGTGAACGGACATAAGGTAAGAACAAAATATAATGTAAATTATCATTTTAATTTATGACAACAATTAAGATTAAGCTTTAAAATAGAAATAAAAATTTACTCAAATATTTAGTTAAATAAATATTTGAAAAATCCTTAGGACCTGGATCTCAATCCTTATCATAGACTTAACCCCAAACCCAAACCCGACCCTGACCCTGGGTTCAGGTGGTGGTAGTGACAAGTGATGGTAGTTAATAATGAGAAATATCACCAAATATTGAGAAATTACAAATCCTAATGTTGATGAGATTAAACATTCCATGAAAATGGGAATGAATTTTCACAAACATTATGAGTATTACTAAGTAATGGTCATTTCATTCCCATGTTTCATTACCACCTACCAAATGCAGCTAAGAAATGTTCAATAGACAATTTGCGTGGTTCTCATAGTGAGATTTGATCGTCGTCTACTATATTGGTAACCACTTTCATATACTGAAGCCACGTAAGATGAACAGGAACCTATGCAGGAAATGTAAGACAGTATTAAGATTTCTATGAAGGACCCACACAAAGCCATTGCCAAATAGATGAATTGTCCATTAAAGTTAGATGCATCGATTAACAGTGAAGAATGATAGAATGTCATACACAGAGACTCTTTGATAAATCATTTCAGCACCCCACTGTTGTGAATAAACTTCGGTTTCACATATGCTTTGGTCGGATGTAAGTGCCGGCATGAAAACCTTCTGTGTACGCTGTGTTCTTGAATATCGTCTGCAATAAAGACATCCACTATTAGTCATAGAGCAGTCCAAAAAAACTGAAATTGATCGACTAAAAGAATGAAACAATAACTAAAATGAAATCATCGAACAAAAATACAGCTACCACAGTCTGTTTAGCAGGAATGTCATATAGGTGAAATGTGTAACGAAGTTAAATGATTTTGCTACACCGAGAGAGATTGATGATGTTAAATTAAAGAACGGTAAATGTAGATATGTAAATGATGACACTATAGTAAGAGATTGAAGGGATAGGCATGGCCATGTCTGTCAATATAGGGACTATGCAATCTCTATCTGTTGAACTCCGAAAACTTAATAACAGTGGTAAACTTAAACATCCCCAAATCCAAAATCCATAAGAAAGCTAAAGAACCAGAATTTCATTTCTAAGATTCTCTTGATATCTTACTTGCCAAATAACATAACGCTGCTCCAAACCAAAAGTTGTCAAAATTTACAGCTAGTGAAATAAGAAACAACCACTGTCTGATTATCACAGGGAAGTACTCCGAGTTTATCAGAAATAACGAAACTAAATACTCACTGCTAGGTTCTTCAACTCCATGGCAAGCTGTTTTCTTATAGTTTCTGATACCACACCACCAAGTTGTTCCCCATGCTGCTTTATATTCTCCTCTTTGATCTGTATTATTTGATTCTTAGACCCAAAACGGAAAGAGTGAAGTTGAAACCGAAAACTGTAGTAGTCTACTTACCTCTGCAAAAATTATGGCTGACGTTTTATCTAGGATTTCTTCAACAAATTTTTCAGTATCCGTAAAGGAGCTTGACGAGTCTCTGAAATTGGTCAATTTTTTCTTTTGTGAATCCTTGGATGGATTGACGGTGTTTGCTATAGCAAAGAGAGAAGAAAACATGTCAGCAATGATAAACAAGAAAATCTGGTTACCGATCATCAACCACACACTTAGGAGCGTCATTAACATAAAAAATACCAAAAAATCCCTTTAGATTTTTTTAATGAAATGAATGAACATTTATCCTATTAGAGCTATGAGTATTTCAATGAGACTAGAACTCCATGATATACATAACCAGTACCAACATCATTATCACAGTAATTTCAAACAGTACTGTAAGGAATATTTCTCAATGTCTAATAGTCATAAGAGTAATTTACGTTTGCTTCACTTTTGGAAGAGCAAATAATATTGGAAGACCTGAGAACTGAGTTCATGAACTAAAAGAACTAGAAGCAATACTCAGTCCTTAACCCATGGAAGTTTGTCAATACCATGACTTTGGCATATTGGCAAATTTCTACAATATTGTTATAGTTTCATAGGAGTTGGTAATATAGTCATCAGGATCAATATTGGATCATAAGCTATCAATATTTAAAAGGTGAATATGAGAATGCAAATTCCTGATCTTCTGATTTCAAAAGCCAGCATGTTGAACAAGGCACATGTAACTTTAGTATAAACATTATGGAGTAAATCAAACGATTTGTTTGCTTACTATTGTAAAATACATCCATCCTTCCAAACAATGAATAGGATTTTTTAAATATTCAAAGATTCTATATGTATTTTGTGAATGCAAATAGTGAAAAAAAACAAGGTAATTTTGATAGGAAAAGAAGAATGGGTACAAGTGGTACATTTGCTAAAGATCTAAATCCTTTCCATGAAAATGAAAATAATAAAAAGGTCTACTATGGTTCAGTTTATAAACTAGGGGAACACATGAAAACGCATAACATAAACTGGTTCAGTTTATAAAAGGATCTATTTCAAGACACCAACAAAGAGAGGACCAAGAGGAGGGCATTTAGTAGGAGGGAGAAAAAAGAAAGGACAAAAGAGAAAAAAGGGAAGGGGGGGGGGGGGGGGGGGGCCGCCCAACAGCAACTTCAATTTGATAAAATGCTCTTCCTTGTTCTTTGAGCCGGATCCTACCTAAGGATCCAGAATGAGTCTAGGCCTTCTCAA